GCGCTCTCTGTGCTGGCAATGACATATAAAAACACTACAACAACTCCAACCGACTGCCGTCAAGTCCTTCAATTGAAACGAGTTCGGTGAGCTCCCTTCGCACTCCAAATGCAAGTCGTGCAGCGAAGCCCTTGAGAAGATCATGCAGATAGGTCCAACCCAGGCGAGAGCAAAATGCAACAACCATAGCTGAAAACAAAAAGATTCACGTATCTTTATCCCTCAGATTTACAAAAATTTGTGCGCGTGCAAAATCCATTCGTTTTGCATTTACTCGACCATCTTGTGGTGCACATCGTCCTACTCTTGCCTAACGGGGCCAATCAACTGTCTAACAGAGGCAATTCGCTGACGCTGGGGACATAGGCCAATTAGCAGTCAAATCGAGCTGCGCAAGCAATTTTAGAAGCAGATTCTTGTTTTCTCGACTATAGAACAACCTAAAAAACCTTTGAAGTTACCTGCATAGGTTGCGCTTTGTTGTTGCAATGTCTGAAGCGTTCCACGGCTAATTCTGAAACGTCGGGCTACCTCATCAATTGATTTTTCGTTAACGACGTCGTAGAGGGCCAGTGCTGAGAAGAAGCGCAAATGAAGCTGAATAGATAATTTTAATAATAGCCAGTGCAGAAGATAATTCTTACCTGATGGCTGCGATCAGAGCTAGAAGCGCTTGTACCACGGAGGCGAGAGAGAAGAAAGCGATCACTTGCACCCACCTATGACGAAAAATAAACGCACACATTTGCTTTGCAAAACTTTGTATCAACTTTGCGTAAACTGGAAATCTGCTTAAGCTCTGCCTACTAACCAGTTTCGCAACTCTCTTCTCTTCATTTTGCAGTTTTGAGAAGATAGAGTGAAGATGATTCCAGTCGCATCCTTGCCAGATAGAGCAGTTAGTAGGTGTAACCTGTAATAACTCATATGTTTACTGACATTTAACAACTCTCCATCCTCTTACCAGGTAAAGCATATGGAGTTCCGTATCCAATGCTACAGCTCTGGTGGCTTGTTGAAGATCAGCAAACACGAAAAGGGCTGCATCTGGAGGTAGAGCGGACGCCAAAGTAGCTTGCCCAAGTTGAGTAGGTGCTAACGCAGAGGCTGAAATCTGCCTT